GTAGTAGTAGTAAGTGTAGTAGTAGTAGTAGTAGTAGTAGTCGTCGTCGTGGTAGCAGTAGTAGTCGTAGTAGTAATAGTAGTAGTAGTAGTAGCAGTAGTAGTTGTAGTAATAGTAGTAGTAGTAGTAGTAGTCGTAGTAGTAGTAGTAGTAGTAGTAGTAGTGGTGGTGGTGGTAGTAGTAGTAGTACTAGTATAGTATTAGTAGGTAGGTAGGTAGTAGTAGTAGTAGTAGTCGTAGTAGTAGTAGTAGTAGTAGGTAGTAGTAGTAGTAGTCGTAGAAGTAGTAGTTTAGTAGTAGTAGTAGTTAGTAGTCAGTAGTAGCAGTAGTAGTAGTATGTAGTAGTAGTATAGTAGTGTAGTAGTCGTAGTAGCGTAGTAGTCGTAAGTCGTAGTTAGTAGTCGTAGTGTCGTAGGTAGTAGATAAAAATAGTAGTAGTAGTAGTAGTAGTTAGTAGTAGTAGTGGTGGTAGTAGTAGTAGTAGTAGTAGTAGTAGTAGTATTATTATTAGTAGTAGTAGTAGTAGTAGTAGTAGTAGACGTCGTCGTCATAACCGTAGTGGTAGTACTACTAGTGTTATCATTACCACACATTTTAATGCTATTTTTGAGAATTATCAGAGCCATACTACTAATAAGAACAACACGAGCACTTCTAATATGATTAAGAACATGAGGAGGAGTAGGAAGAGGCGCGGGAGGATGAGGAGGAGGAGGAGAAAGAGGAGGAGGAGGAGGAGCCTGAAGAGGAGGAGGAGGAGGAGGAAGAGGAGGAGGAGGAGGAGGAGGAGGAGGAGGAGGAGGAGGAGGAGGAGGAGGAGAAGGAGGAGAGGAGGAGGAGGAGGAGAGGGGAGGGGAGGAGGAGGAGGAGGAGGAGGAGGAGAGAGGAGGAGGAGGAGGAGGAGGAGAGGAGGAGGAGGAGGAGGGAGGAGGAGGAGGAGGAGGAGGAGTGGGAGGAGGAGGAGGAGGAGCAGCAGGAGGAGGATTGGGAGGGGGAGGGGGAGGGGGGGAGGGACGGAGGGAGAGAGCAGGAGGACGAGGAAGACGAGGAGGACGGAGGCTACGGCAATGACGACGCAGGCGCGGCCGCCATGCCTCAGCCGGCGCCCTGCAGCTTCAATGAGGCGTTCGAGCGCGTCCTTCTCGATCGGACTGGCGTTAAGATGACCAGGGGCAAGTTCGTCAAGGAGAGCGGGCGATGAAGGGCGTGTGTGCACGGCAGGGGGGGAAGATGAGGGGAGGCGGGGGAGGGATCGAGGGAGGGCGACACGTGAAGCGAGGAGCAAGCAGGGAGGACGATAGCGTGGGTCAGCCGTAATGTTTCCGAACGTTCCAGGAGGTTTTCGTGACCTAGGCCGATTTCCGTCGGCTGCGGCCCGTCGAGGGCGCCTGGGGGATGCGCCGGCTTCGTTCCGAGCGGCCGCCCAGGCAAGAGCCAGGTGCGGAGGAGGGAAGGGCGGGAGCGGAGGGGGGGCAGGCCAAGCTAGGTGCGCTAGTGCCATACCTGGCATCCTGTCCCTCTCTCCCATCCCTTCTTGTTGCGCGCGGGCTCTTCTTGACCCGCGGACGCGTGAGCAGGGCCGACGGTCAGAGGGCGCGCCTCCCTCTGCAGGGCCACCGAAACAGGGGCGTCAGGGTGGTCCTACGCCTCGCCGGTCAAGCGGAAGAAGGTGTGCAACATCCAGCCATTCGTTAACGTCCAAAGTTTTGGCTTGGCGCCGGGTGTGGTGCAGCTTGGCCGCACAGGCTGGTTGCGCCCCTTGACGTCCGTCTTGGGGTGCTCTGCAGGCCTGGCCCTTGCAGCCCCACTCGGGTCCCAGTCGACCTGGGGCCCCTCAAAAGACCCTTTTCATGGTTTGCGCAGTCGGAAAAAGGGAAGCCTGTTGGTCCTGTGCAAGCTGGGGGGCCTCTGTGGCCTGCGGGGGCCTGTGAGACCTGCGGCACCTGCTGGCACGGTGAGCTCTGGCGGATGCCGTCCGAGGCAATCGCTGGACCGCGGTGGGCCCCTCGGCCCCCCCGCCCCGAGTGGAAACCCAGGCTTGCGCATGCCCTGGCCCTGACTGCCTCGCAGCACGAGTGGCGGCGAGCGGGCTCACATCCGAGCACCGTATATGACTACTACCACCAAGATCGAGAGTAATCTACGATGCGACTTGGTGCAGCTTTGCTCTGATGAAAAGCCTGCAGTCCCCCTCCTGCCGCCAACGGCAAAAGGCTTCCCCCTCTTTCTTGAGGACCGAAACAGAATTCATCAAAGCACGCGCGGTGGTGGTGTATAAAATGTTGGTTACCAAGAGGAGCGATTTTTATACGCCACCGCCAAGAAGTGCTGTTTCTGCTCCAAGAACTCCCCATTTCACGGCGCCTGCGAGCTGCGCCGCGCTCCTTTTCGCCGTGGCGTCGCAGCGTCGCCTGGCATGACCCTGCCCCTAATCCTTTTTGCGATAATTTACTGTTGCGGGCGGTGGTGGTGTATGAAAATTGGCCTCGCATCACATTTTTCACTGCCGCTTTTGCACGGTTCTTGCCAACCGCGAGCACACTCCTGGCTGCCTCGGCGATTTGCCTCCGGACTGACCCCCAGTGTGGTATAGCACGCGTCGTTGGTCGGCGAGTACTGGGGGGAAGGTCCTGGACAGTTTTCGAAAGTTTAAGCACTGGGGGCAATTTGAGTGGGCTTTCTCTTCCAGGTGCGGTCGTACAGCGGCGACCAACCCCAGGCACTTGGCCACCCCCTGTACCCCCCCAAAAAAAGGTCGCTCTTCTGGCACACCTACAGCAGGGGCGACATCTACTCTTGCCCGTATCGACCAGGGCGAGTACACCGACCCGAGCGGACCGCTGAGGGCGGTCCGACCTGCATGCGTCGCCGACTTGCAGCGCGAATCTCCAGTTTTCCGACTTCCGTTGTCGTTCACCACATAATTCCCACTGTGTCTTCTTCTTCTTTCCCTCCTCCTCCTCCTCCTCCTCCTCCTCCTCCTCCTTCTCTTCCTCCTCCTCCTCCTCCTCCTCCTCCTCCTCTTTTTACTCCTCCTCCTCCTCCTCCTCCTCCTCCTCCTCCTCCCTCTCCTCCTCCTCCTCCTCTTCTCCTCCTCCTCCTCCTCCCTCTCCTCCTCCCTTCCCTCCTCCTGTGGTGGGGGAGGTCTCTTTGGAAAGGCAGGCCGCCCGGGTCCGCAGGAGCACATGGACAAGGAGCTGCAGCTGGCCCGGAAGGTCGAGGGCTTCGCCGTCGAGGGCGGCGCCAAGGCCTCCCTGGCCTCCAGCGGGAGAGGGAGGAGGGAGGAGGGAGGAGGGAGGAGGGAGGAGGGAGGACGGAGGAGGAGGGAGGAGGGAGGAGGGAGGAGGGAGGAGGGAGGAGGGAGGGAGGAGGGGGAGTGAGGAGGGAGGAGGGAGGAGGAGGAGAGGGAGGAGGAGGAGGAGGAGGAGGAGGAGGAGGAGGCGGAGGAGGAGGAGGAGGAGAAGGAGGAGGAGGAGGAGGAGGAGGAGGGAGAAGGAGGAGGATGAGGAGGAGGAGGAGGAGGAGGAGGAGGAGGAGAAGGAGGAGTGCAGGATTGCAGGATTGCAGGATTGCAGGCTTCGCAATGCCGTCCGACGGGGACGAACAGCGCACGGGGTACCCTCAGCCGAGGGCGACAGGGAGGCTCCCAGGATGAACGCCGGCGAGCCCGTCAGGTCAAGCACCGGCAGGCTCGTGAAGCCGAGGCAGCAGCGCCGACGCGGACGCCGCACTGCGCTGCGCCCCGCTGCCAGGCGCTTCCGATCGGCCGGCCGGCGCTCTCCACGACAACGTTGCCCGGGGGTGCCTTGCCCGCCTGCCTGAGAATTTGGCCTGCGAGTTGGCGCGCTCGGTCGCCGCCGAACGCGACGCGGAGCGGCGTTCCGAAAACTTGGGAAGGCCTTCCCGAACAACGTTCATTGGACCCCCCCGAGCGCACTAACTGCAGCGGCCCAGTGCCGTGCCTCGAGCCGCGAGCGCAGGCTGGACGGGTGGGTGCGCTCGGCGCGGCCCCCGCAGCCGTCGGCTGCCCCGAGGCACGGCGCGTGCAGGGCGCGGGAGGTGCCGGCGCCAGGCCGGGCCACGCCCGCCTCGCAGCACACCGCCGGCCCCGCGCGACGGAGCCGACAGGGCGCGGGAGGTGCCGGCGCCAGGCCAGGCCACGCCCGCCTCGCAGAATGCCGCCGGCCCCGCGCGACGGAGCCGATGGCCGTGGGCCTCCACGCGAGCGTCGCCCGAGGCCCATCTCGTAGCGAATGGGCTGCTCGAGGTGGCCATGGGCCTTCCAGGCGCGGCGCCGCGTCGAGAGCCTGCATGGCGAGAACTGGCCAGGCGACGAGCCGAAGGCAGCCGCCGCGCGCTCGCGCCGGAGGATGGCCTCCGCCCCCAGCTGCGAGAGCTCGGATGCCTCGCGCGCAGGCAGCTTCGGAGCTGCGCCCACGCGGGCCCCGCCAGCTTCGCCGTCGGCCTGCAGCAGCGGCGGCAGACGTCGTGGCCGGGCCGCAGGCGCGCACCAGCTGGTGGCGCGCGATCGCCACCGAGGGAACCTCGGCGGGTTCCCTGGTCGGGATGAAACGATTGGAGGGCTCCCACTGCTGGACCTTCAGCATGCGCTGCATCGCCCAGCCGATGCAGGCCGCCACCTCCTTGTGGCGCTCGGCCCCCGCCTTGCAGAAGTCCCTGGTGCACCTGCGACACGGTGTTCTCCGTCGCACCCTGCTTGGCGAACCAGTCCGCCAACATATTACCTGCATGCATGGCCGTTAAGCAGTGGCGAAGCGTCCCAGCTTGCCTATCGGCCTATCAAAGAATGTTATAATAACCTCTTGTGGGCTGCACGAAATGTTCTTAGAACATGTATGGCTGCGACCGTCTTGGTTTCACACCTCGTGCTTATGCTAAAATAAGAGATTTGTTTCTGCGTTTCGAGCACTTTTGGGTTCTAGGAACATTTCGTGGTAGGCCTATAGGAATTCAGAGCGTGAATTACCTACCCCGCTTTC